CAGGTGGCTTCTCCTCACCTCCGGGACCAGGGGCCCGCCAGCGGCGGCCCCCCTGAGGGCCTGGGGCCCCCTCATCTGCAGAACTCGGGGGTGGGACACACAGGCTCACACTTCCATGCATCGTGGTTTGGAAAAGGCGCTAACACCGCCCAGACCACTGCTCCGTTCCACCTCACGAGCAGTCCCTGTGCTGACCTTCAGGAACTTGTTTCAGCAGCAACCTCTGACTCTCACGGGGTGAGAGGTTTACACCTTCTGGGTCTTGCTTTACCCGTGCTTTGAAAGGCATTCATGTTCCTTTAGGGCGTAGGCTGTAGAATGGATGAATGAATGAGTGAATGAATGGAAGTGAAGTAGAAGCTGAGGTTAGAACATCCGCATAAGGGCTGTGCTCAGCATCCAGGATGATTGGGCCTTTCATGAAAGTCTGATAAGCCTCGTGAGTCTCTCTTCTGTTGGAAGCCTATGAGTTCAGCGTGTTCTAATTATACTGAAGTATGATCCTGCCTTATCTGGGACCATGACAATCACACCTGTCTAGATTTCTTCTTATTTTTTATGTCATCGTCACTAAATAAATGTTTGCTCACATCTACTGAGCCCAAGGCACTGTCTGGGCCTGGAGAATCCAGTGGTGAATGAAAAATAGGGTCTCAGTCGTGTACCTGCTAAGTTGTCTGTAGAGAGAAAGGCTCTATATTCAGAACTTTTAGTATGAAGAAGTGTTAACGTTAGCAATGAACTGCATGCCAGAGCCAGTCCGCCCCGTAAGTAAATCCTCCTTGTAAGTCCTTTTAATTTTTATTGGATTAGAAATAACTTCCTGGGCCAACAGCCAAAGGAAAGCTGCTTGGAGGAAGACATGGGGGAGCCTGCCTCTGCTGAAGCTCCAATCCTTTGGCCACCGGATGTGATGAGCCTACTCATTAGAAAAGACCCTGATGCTGGGGAAGGTTGCGGGCAGGAGGAGAAGGGGATGACAGAGGACGAGATGGTTGGATGGCATCACTCACTCAGTGGACATGAGTTTGAGTGGACTCCGGGAGCTGGTGATAGACAGGGAGGCCTGGTGTGCTGCGGCCTGTGGGGTCGGGGGTCGCAAACGACTGGGCGACTGAACGACACAGCTTCTGCTTCTGTGCCTCGGCCTCCCTCCTACCCACACTCGTCACTTCTGCTCAGAGGTTTAAACCCCGAGTCACCTCCCTCGAGTCTGCAGGGGGTGGTCAGGAGGGAAGGGAGTGGGGACCACAGAGGGGCGTCCATGGTCAGCGTCAGGGGCGTGTGGACACCCCCGTCCCGTCTCCCCACCCGGGAGCCATTCACACTGCGGGCGAGAGCGGCCGAAGGAGGCGCCTGCAGGCACACACGCACATACATTCCCAGGGGGACAGTTTTGACAGCTTTGACTTTCAACGATCATAAAATCCACAGGTGGATTTTCCGTGTAATGACATAAATAATTTAACAATCAGTAAGAACTTAAAACCAAACAAATAAACTAAGACCGTTTAGGGACTCAGAGACGTCCTTGCCAGAGACCCCTCCTCCTCTGGAGACGCCAGGTCCATGCGGCCCCAGGGCCGTGCCTGCCCCTCGCTGGGGGGCCTACTGGGTCCCTTGTCGAGTTTCCCCCCAGCCCAGCCCATCTCTGAGGCTGTGGTGCCCAGGGCCCAGCCTTCAGCTTCTTCCTCCCACCTCCCTGCTTTTGACTGGGGCTCCCGATGTCACGATGGGACGTGGCCCCCCACCCAGAGATGCAGATGGGAAGAGCGTGGGATTGGAGTCCGTGGTCTCAACTTGGTGACTTGGAGTCGCAGGCACCCTGGACCAGGGACACCGGGGCATCGGCGGACCCCAGGGTCTAAGGTGCTGCCCGGGGAGACCCACGGAACAGGTGTGACTCCTGAGGAGCGGGCGGGCACTCACGCCCAGGCTGTGGACACAGGGCGCCCAATCAGAAAGCCTACTTGATGCAAGCACGTCTAGATGCAACCGTAGAAAGCAGGCTGCTGCCTGAGCAGCTGACATGATGTGCGAAAAAGCCCCTGCTGGAAATGCTCTAACCTTAAAAAAAAGCTTCCTTACAACCTGTGTGACTTTGCTCAGGCTGCCACAGCAAAGCGGACGGGGTGGCCTCGCCCAGGGAAGTTCTCTGCTCTCAGTCCTGGACGCTTCGAGGCCGGCATCCAGGTGCGGGCTGCCAGCCCCCAAAGCCTCTCCCCTTGGCGGTCTCCTCACCTTGGCCTCTGGGGTCATCCCCTGTGTGTGTCTGTGTCCCGACCTCTTCTTCTCTTAAGTCAGACTAGATTGGGGCCCACCCCCGGGTCTCACTCTTAGCTTAGTTGCCTCTTTCAAGGCCCAACCCCGAATGCAGTGCCTCCCTGAGGTCTTGGGGTTGGAGCTTCAGTATGTGGGGTTTGCGGATGTGACTCAGCCAGTGACACAGCCGTGGGAGCAAACGCAGGGTGTGGTTCACATGGGGCTCCTCTGGCTGTTAGGACTTTTTCCAGCAAGTGAGAAGCCCGCCCCCCTGGCCCAGGCCTGAGAGCCCAGCAGCCCAGAAAGAGCCTCGGAGGGCTTCCTGTCCTGCCCTCACGGTGATGCTTGGCCAACATGAGTGAGCCTCCAGTGACCTGCTCTGCGGGAAGGTTTCCAACCCCGGCTGTGCGGGGCACTTACCCTGACTCATGTGCTCTCCCACAGGACCAGCGCCACCTCCCGGAGTCGGGGGCAGAGTTTGCACCCCCACCTTCAGGGCTTCCCAGGGCCCCGCTCAATGCTGCGATCTGCCTGCACCCTCCAGGCCTTCTGGCTGGTAATCACAGCACACTCTCTTTCCCATTTTGAAAAAGAAATATACACATTCACATTAAATATGTGTGTGTGTTTGTGTGTGTGTCGTGCTAAGTTGTGTCAGTTGTGTCTGAATCTGTGCAATCCCATGGACTGTAGCTCTCCAGACTCCTCTGTCCATGGCATTCTCCAGGCAAGAATACTAGAAAGCATTGCCATTTCCTCCTCCAGGGGATCTTCCCAACCCAGGGATTGAACTCAAGTCTCTTACATCTCCTGCATTGGCAGGTGGGTTACTGACCACTAGTGCCACCTGGGAAGCCCCAGATCTTCCAGACTGTGTGTGTGTGTGTTAGTTACTCAGTCATATTGACTCTTTTTGACTCGATGGACTGTAGCCTGCCAGGCTCCTCTGTCCATGGGGATTCTCCAGGCAAGAATACTGGAGTGGTTTACCATTTTCTTCTCCAGGGGATCCTCCCAACCCAGGGATCGAACCCAGGTCTCCTGCCTTAACATGTGGATTCTCTGCTGTCTGAGCCAGCAGGGCCACCCAGAGAGAGAGGGGTGTCACGGGGTTTGGCTCACACACCGTCGGTCCGGCCAGGTGGGTCCGGTCTGTAGGCTGGCCGTCAGCCTGGGACCTCAGGCGGGAACTCCCTGCCTGGGATTTTCTGCTCCATCCTTAGGGAGACCTCAGTTCTGCTCTTAAGACCTTTCAACTAATTGGACCAGCCCCCACTCCCCATCAGAATTATCAAGGATAATCTCCTTTGTGCAATTGATTGCAGGTATTAATTATATCCACGAAACACCTTCACAGCAACAGTGAGATCAGTGGTCTCACCGACACCACGGTCCACCCCCGGTCAGAGGGCAGGCCGGCGCCTCCTGCAGCCCTGCTTCACCTCCAGATAAAGACAGCAACACAGCCACATGTCTGCCCAACACGATGCGACCGAAAGCCTGCTCCTTCCACCAAGGAGGGCGGAGGAACCTCGGAACGACATCCATTTCTGCCCTTGACATCGCAGGACTTATGTCAGGGAGAAATACAAAAGCGGGCATCCTGGTTTCTGCAGCTGACCACGTTGTCATGGCTGGTATTTGCCGCCATTTTTCTCTGGATTCCCCTCGCTCTCAGCGAGCCTCCCAGCTGACCTCCCAGCTAGCCTCGCTCTTTACCAGGCAGGGTGACCCCAAGCTTCAGCCCAGACGGTCTGAGCCATTAGCAGGCCTGCCTAGACTGGGTCGCCACAGTTCTCAGGTGGCCTCACTCCCAGGACACGGAGATACTGAGAGACACCCAAGCCATCACCTGGGCTCCACATACGCCCTTCCTCACCTCCACCGAGCAGCGGCCAGACTTCCCCTTGGCCGTCGCGATCACTCGCCCCAGCCAGGACAGGCCCTCCCTTCTTGCCTGTGGACTTGGAGGTATGGGGGGCTCAAAGTGGCCGGGGCGGCCATCTCAACCTCAGGTCAAAGGAGCGTTGTCCCGTCTCCTGACGGAAGCCTGCCTCCCTCCGGTGAGCACTGATGTTAACAGGTCACCTGTGCTAACAGGGAGGGTGGTAACTGCATCCCTGCTGCCTGGCTCAGCCACCAGAGAAGTTGGCGGCAGCACCTCCGTGGACACTGACTTGGAGCCTGGGTGGCTCTGGGGAGCCCTGCCGGGCTCCACCCAGCTGGCATTGTACCTGATCCTTCAGAAGGCCACGCCACGGCTCCAACTAGCCAGCTGCTCCCCGAGGGCGGAGACGCGGGGCTCGTGGGCCCGCACCTCACCTTCCTGTGAACTGAGTGTCCTGATGGGAAGGGGCTGCGTGGGGTACCCGGCAATGGTGAGGCGTCCTGCGCGTCCATGGTTGGCAGTCTGGGCAGAAGGACTGCACGAAGGGAGGAAATCCATAACCAAAGTGAGCATCCGTCCCAGCGAGACCAGAGCGCTGCTCCTTCCACGATGGAAGTGGTCCAGCGTCACCAGCCTGCCGCCAGCTGGCTGGCGGGTCTCCCCCAGGAAGAGTGCCCCAGCGGGCCCATCTCCGAGTGCCCTCCCCAGTCTGGGTTCTGAGCATTGCTGTTTAGACTAGAACAGAAGACAGACACCTCTAATGCAGCTCAAACTTGCTCAGTGAAACCAGGAAGTGAGGTGTGAGAATACCGGAAGTGAGGTTGAAAACACCGGAAGCGAGGCGTGAAAACACCGGAAGTGAGGCATGAAACCACAAGTGAGGCTGAAACCGCAGTGAGAAGGAGCAGCTCTGAGCCCTCGCTGCAGCCCTCCGGGGGCCTCACCGCCCAGAAGCCACCCTTCCTGTCTTTCCTCCTGTCACAGCCCTGATTTTACTCGGAGTCAGTGAAACCCCTTACTCCGCTAGGAGGCACGCTCTCTCACCTCATGTGCAGGAGATAAACTACGGCTGGAGTGAGCAGTCGTGGGCTCCCCTCTGCCAGGGCTCGGCCCGAGGCCCATCCATGGCCTAGTTCTGACCAGCAGCTGTGAGAGAGAGTTGATAGACAGGTATTCTGGGAAATATCTCCCTTCCAGATGTAACACTATCTCTTCACAAGGAAAAATTCCCCCTTTCCATTGCCTCCTACTTTTCTGCTTGAGATACAGCAGTCTTTTGACCATAAGTCAACAAAATTAGGGAGAGAAAAGACAAGCTCAAGAATATATTTCTGTGAATATTCATCACAGTCATTGATAAGAACAAAAATAAGGAAGGAAAGTAAATGTTTAAAAGGGATTAAAATATAGATATATATCTATATGATGATAGTATACAACCATAGACATATTTATTGGCAAGAAAACATGGTTATGATCATTTGTTAGGGGACAAAATCAGGTTACAAATACTTTGTGCATGCATGCGTGCTCAGTCACTTCAGCTGGGTCTGACTATTTGCAACCCCATAGACTGTAGCCTGCCAGGCTCCTCTGTCCATGGGATTCTGCAGGCAAGAATACTAGAGTGGGTTGCCATTTCCTTCTCCAGGGGATCTTTCTGACTCAGGGATCGAACCTGAGTCTCCTGTGTCTCCTGCATTGGAGGCAGTTCTTTACCACTATGCCACCTGGAAAGCCACAGATAGTTTGTAGGAACCATATGTGTGAGTTTGTATAAAAAAGAAAGAAAGTGGGAGGTTACAGACTAACATGGCAACACTGGAAACCTTCCAATGGGGGAATTATGGGTAATTTTTTTCTAAATGGAAATAGAGAAAAGCCCTGTTTTCCCAACATTGTTGAGTCTTTGGCTCCACAGAACCACCTGCTAACAGGTGTTTCTTCATGAGCTAGCTAAATATCCATCCTACTTCCAATATGTTTGCAATTTCTGGTATTTCCAGTCGAACACTTACTGACGCGCTGCGTATGTTTCTGAAGGTTCCTCCTCAGTCAGTAAAGGTGTCCTGCAACGGCTAGCAGTAAAGAACCCCCGCCCATGCAGGAGATGCAGAGACTCGGGTTTGGTCCCTGGGTCAGGAAGAGCCCCTGGAGGAAGGCAGAGCAACCCCCTCCAGCACTACTGCCTAGAGAGTCCCATGGACAGAAGAGCCTGGTGGGTTATAGCCCAGAAGGTCGCACAGAGTCAGACACGGCTGAGTTCAATGTGAGGAGCAGTGGTAGGAGGGCACCTCAACAGGCGTGTTCACCTGGCGCTCTGATACGCTCCGTCTCCTCCAGATCTCCTCGCTTCTCCGTGACCTGTTCCTTCCTTTCCCAGGAACACAGCGGCCAGGGCCTTTTCTGTTTGTGCCTTCCCAGCCTCTGTTCTCCAGACTGCTGTCCCCTCGCTGGACAGAGAGCACTGTGCNTCCTCCCTCCTCCCTCCTCCCCTCCCCTCCTCCGTCTCCCCAGGGCCCCAAGCTCCTATCACTGTCAGATCCGTCATTCACGCGCGGCACTTTCTCCACGTACATTAAGGATTATTACCCCCTCCTCCCTGGTTTTTCTTTGCTCTCTTCCCCAAAAGGGGGGTGGGTGGGTATTAATACAAACATTCTTTATTATTTTGGCAAGGAAAACAAATGGGAATCAAGCAGCCTACTTCCTGTCAGGGTGCTGATGAAGAGAAGCGTCAATAAACAGAACAGTCTCCTGAGCTGCTGGCTCGCAGTCCCGTGCAGGAAGTGGAATAAAGCGGATCCTGACCCAGAGACAGATGCGGTGTGTTCACGCCAAGCGCTGGGCTGCCCGCCCCCACCACGGCTGCTTTTTGTCTGTTAACCTTTAGCTGGAGGGAGACCGGTCCTAACTTGCTCAGGGTCCACCTGCGGCCCAGCTCCTGGCCCCTGATACCCGGGGCTCCTCCTCAGCCCGCTCCCCCGCCTGCCCCTGCCGCCCCGACGTCACCCAGCCCTGCTCCTCTCACAGGTCCCCTCAAGGGGCCAGCTGCTTGACCCCAGGGGTCTCCAGGCATACAGACGCCGTGTGCCCTGAGCGGCTCGTACACACCTGTGGGGAGGGAGACAGGAGACGGACCAACACACAGGCTGAGAGGCTTGTTCCAGCAGAAATCCACCCCTGGGATGTAAGAAGCTCTGCTCCTCCCTCCATGAAGGCCCTGGTGGTGATCTCAAGGGGCCTCAGGCAGAGGCCGGTCAGGACAGGAAAGATCGTGTCTCAGAATCCGGGGCGCCTGGGAAAGCAGCATCAAGGTTGAAGAGGGAGCCCGACTCCCCCCAAGGCCTGACCCAGACGGGCCCCAAACGCGCGACCCCAACAGGGCCTGGCTCCCCGCAGGGCCCGATGCAGACGGGGGCCTGGATCCCCGCAGGGGCCGATGCAGACGGGGGCCTGACTCCCCGCAGGGCCCGATGCAGACAGGGCCCGGCTCCCCCCAGTGCCTGACCCAGACGGGCCCCAAACGCGCGACCCCAACAGGGCCTGGCTCCCCGCAGGGCCCGATGCAGACGGGGCCTGACTCCCCGCAGGGCCCGATGCAAACGGGGGCCTGACTCCCCCCAGGACCCGATGCAGACGGGGGCCTGACTCCCCGCAGGGCCCGATGCAGATGGGGGCCTGACTCCCCGCAGGGCCCGATGCAGACGGGGGCCTGACTCCCCGCAGGGCCCGACCCAGACGGGGGCCCTCCCTACTCAGGCTGCTTCTAGGACTCCCTCGTGCTGGGGCTGCTCCTGGGGTCACTGGGGGTGAGGGCCTGGACAAGCTGGCAGGAAGCAAGAGAGGAGACCCCAAACCAGACTGTCCCTCTGTGCTCTGTCTCCACCATCTGCGTCTGCATCACCTGTGTCTACATCTCCATCTAACTACCTATCTATCCTACCGCCTACTTATTATCTATGTTCTAGCTATTTATCTATCTAGTTACCTATCTATCTATATCTATCTGTCATATATCTGTCTACCTATCTAGCTAGCTACCTATTTATCTATTTATCATCTAGCTAGCTAGCTAGCTAGCAACCTATCTATCATCTATCTATTTATCTATCTACCTATCAATCAACACCCCTGAGAAACCTCCCTGGTAACTGATACTGTGAGTGCTGTAGGTCAAGGCACACCTGTCCACTCTGTGAGCTGGCTAAAGTTCTGTGTGCCCCCCAGGTTTGGGGTCACAGCCCATTGGGGTCACTGCTGTGATTGGGGTTACCCCTGTCTGCTGTGGAAGCCTCTGGCCCAGAGGTCACAGGAACAAGCTCCAAAAGGCAGGAGCACAGCTGTGGGTCTGAGGTCCGAGTCCACCATCAGGTAGCTGGTGATGGATCAGTCTCTCCACCTATAAAACAAGGTTCTGGAACTGAGCTCCCCTTCCCCCTAAGCTGCCAGGACCTGACAATCTCACTCTCAAGCTAAGCAAGTCAGCAGCGGCATCACAGAAAGCAAAGCACATGGGGTGGACTGTGTTTAAAAGAAAGCAGTCCCACTAGAAAGAGTCAAGGAGGGCTCCTGGGCGCAGCATCACTGACCGACTCAAAGAGGAAGCCGACTGCGTCCCGCACCCTCTGCTCCGCATTCTGCCAACACTGCTCTTACCCTGGAATAAGTTTTCCACACAGAGTTTGTCTAACATCCAACACTGAGGTCTCTAAAAACATCAAACCAACAAAATGAATTTCCAAGTTGGTTAAAAAAACCGCCGTTCTCAAACTAAATCGGCTGGTTTTCTCAAATCTCTTTGTAGAAGGTGTTCAGTAAGTGCCAACAACTTGCTTGGGCCCCGGGCGTTCAGGGTCAGCAGTGGCCTGAATCTGGGGTCTCCCAAGGTCTTGCCTACCCCCCACCTCGGGGCCCGGCCCGCCTCAGCCCCTGGCCTAGGGCCCACTCGGTGAGTGTGGGAGCCCAGCCACACACACAGAAATGTGGAGAAAAAGCCTGGAGAGACTGCCACCAGAATCCTCGTTTTTTGTAAGATTTATTTTATTTGCATTTATTTTGAAAGCCGCCCCCCGCCACACACACTCAGGAGACCCATCTGTTAAATCCTTTGTCTTCCAGACCATTTCCAAAGGTGTGACCTGTTTTAAGAGAAGGTGAAATTTGAGGGGCAAAAACCCTACAGCGCAGAAACATTAAGGATGACTATTCACATGTCAAAAAAAATGCACTGCTTTATGGAAGATTCAATGCAATGTTTTGTTTTTTTTTTTAAGTTCTATACAATTCCAGTGTGTTTTAAATGCCTTTCAGTTAGAAGAACTGATTCACACTCACCTTTCTTTCAACTTTGTTTCACCTAAGGGGTAACGTGATGGAAGTCATAGCCCCCATTTTCCTTCTGGGGAATCCCGGGTTTCCCCAGAGCTGGACGCACCGGCATTAAGCTGACAGGGCGCTGATGGCAGACAGAGTCTTGTGAGGTCTTCGCCGTGTCCTGCCGTCAGTTCAGAGGGAGTCACCCACCCTGAGGCCTCAGTCTGTCCTTCTGCAAAGTGGGAACAGCCTTACTGACCACACCAGCGTCTCAGGACGGTGCTGGGTTCACAAAGCGAGACAAGCAAGGCCCACCCCGACACGGCCCGCGAGTGTGCCAGAAACAAACGGGCCACCTGCTTGTGGTGGGCGCCCCCGCCTCCCCAGACAGAGATTCAGGGTCACGGTGGCCTGCAGCCTCTACCCAAGGTGGATGCCTTCCTGCCGTGTCCTCCCATCCTCCCCTGGAATCTGTCTGACCCCTGCCCTGTCTCCTCAGGCCACGTGGTCCCGGGCCCGTGCCCAGAGGGCGCAGGGGAACAGACTGGCTGTTACCCGAGGGGTCACACCTCGGACCAGCACTGTTTCCCACCCGTTAACTCAGTCAACTGGTGCGCCCCCTTTCCGTGAAGGCAGGAGGACCCCCACCCCTGAGCGAATGAAGAAGCCAGAGCTCCCCCATCTCCGTGACCTCTCCCGGGGACACAGCGGGACAGGCCCAGTGGCCCTGGGTCCCGTCCCCTGGACATGGAGGCCGTGTTCTGACCATGTCAGAAAGGCCCCCCTTCCATTTCCAGCATCACAGGGGGAGGGGCGCAGCATGGCCACCCGTCAGCCTTGTGAGCGCAGGGACGCGGGGGGACACAGGGCTCCCCCCCGGAAAGGCTCCAGCTCACGTGGGCCCACCTGGGGCCACGCCGCACGGCTCCTCCCCCGGGCACCCGAAGGCACACCTGCTGGGCCCCCGACGGCCAACGTGCCCCTCGCTTGGTGACCCCCAGGACTGTGCTTCTGGGAACAGTCCACCCACGCGTGTCACAGCTGCTGTGGGACGGGGGTCAGGGAACGGGACAGGGGCGGGTGAGGGCAGGCCCCCGGGGACCCCGGCGGGCAGGGGCTGGGTGAGGGCAGGCCCCCGGGGACCCCGGCGGGCAGGGGCCGGGTGAGAACAGGCCCCCGGGGACCCTGGCGGGCAGGCTACACCGATGCTTGCGGGGACAGTCCCCAGCGTCAGCGTTGACGAGCATCTGGCAGAGAAGACGCACTGCTGGAGTCCTCACTCGTCAACTCCCAAGTGCCTGTCATTTTTCGCACAGGTGTTCCTAGGTCATCTCTCAGGAGCATGGCCGTGCAGAGTGAAGGACCGTCTCCACGCTGAGCTGCAGGTCCCAGACGGGGGACACGCAGGGACGGGGACCCTGTGACCAAGGACGCGGGCCGCTCCGCCACCCGCCCGCCTTCCAGTCCCAGCCTGAGACCCCTCTTCCTCAGCCCCGGGGGGCGAGGACGTCCTCACCCCCGTTCTCCGCCCCAAGTCGGGCCTCTGTGGTCCTGAGAGCTCGGAAGGTGCCGGGTGAGGACAGAGGGGCTTTCCCGGGCTGACCCCGTGGGAAGGGCCCCGATGGGGGTCCTTTGATCTTCCTCCCCCAGACCTCAAATCTGAGCCCCGCCGCTCACCCCTCAGCGCCTGCTTCTCTAAGCAGTCCTTGAGGACTGTGCTGCCGGCCGAGTGCGGGGCAGCCGGCAGGGAGGGCGGCAGTGGGGGCTCCAGACACAGGGCGGGGCGGGCCTGCTGGCGCCCGGGCGCCTCCCTTCCCTCGCCGCCCTGCCGGCCGCAGGCAGGCCTCGGGACGCACATACGTGCACCGTGCGCGCCCCCGGGGACGCCCACCGCCCAGCCCTGTGCGCCCGGCCTCCCCAGGCTGCGGCCCCGCAAGACACTCGTCTCACAGGGTCAGTCACGGGAGCAGGAACTCGTGACAGAGGCGCCTGGGGAGGAGGCGGGAGGAGACGAGAGGCTCACGACCGTGAGAAAGTTGTGCCCAACGGAAAATCAAGCTGGGTGGCCTTCCCGGGCCTCCTTGCCCCCCCTTTTCTGCCAGAGAGCAAAAGCCCAGTTGCTGACCTTTGTGGGACTGACAGCGACGTCACACAGTCGGCTCGGGTGGGGCCCTGACCGTCCCGCTGCCCACCTGGCAGCTTGCTCGTTGAAAACTCTTCGTTTAAAGAGAGAAACCCGTTTCTGAGGCGATGGCCGATAAGGCCTTTGCTGACAAAGAGAGATACCAGGTCCCGAGGGGCTCTGGTCCAGCAGCCACAACGGGAGGCAGCGTGGGGAGGGGGCTGCTGAGGGCGCGGCGTCTGCCGGAGGGGACGCAGGGGCACTTGCTCAGGAGGGCAGACACCGCGGGGCAACGAGCCAGCTCTGCCCAGGGCCCAGGGCCTCGGGCTGCCCGGGCGGACCTTCCAGGGAAGGCCCTCACTCACTCGCAGATGTG